CTCTTTCTAATTGTACTTGAATGATTCCTTTTTCCCCTTTGATTCAGAAAAATGTGACTGAGCGTGGCATAAAACAGCAAGGAAAAAGTGAAGTGTAAGCTAAAACAGAATTTGAAGGCATCATGTTGGAAAAGTGCAACAGACAAGACTGACGGTTTCTAAAACAAATAATGCAGAACTACCAAGCACCTGTGGTATTAGGAACTGCATGAAGGCCATGTAATACCAGCCCTCTTTGCTTTCAGTTCGAAAACCCGAAGGAAATATTTTAAAAGATGAGAGTAGAATAAATTCAAAGCCTGGTTTCTTGTAGTTCGTTCTCTCGCAGATGGATTATCCCAAGGTTAATGAGACACAAGCAGCAATCTGAAGTTCTCCTTTCCCTGGCACATCCACAAGTGCCTGCCTTGTTCTCCCTCCGGACACCCCGTCGCCTACGCTCACACAGCACCCTCTCCCCATCCTTAGGTAGGTTTTTCTCTCAAAGCCACCCGCTCGTTACCATGCCACTCAAAGGCTGCTATTATCTCCAATAGTGCAGTTCCAGCCCAGCTGACACCAGCCCAGGGGTGACAGGGAAGCAGTTCAGGACCCGCACAGGAAAGGGTGAATAACCGACAGACCCGTTGCAGAATTATTTTCCTACGGCATGCAAGCCGACGTGACTCTGTGTCTGAGCAGCATGGGAGAGGCGTAAACCCAGAGAAAGAAACTCTAAGCCAAAACTCTGACTCTATATTCAGCTTTGACCCCTATCCTGCCAAGAAAACCAGGTCCCTTTACCATTAACGAGCCTCAGTGAAGCCAAGCTAGTCAAGCTACGTTCAAGCAGGCTGAAATCAGTTTTGGTGCATATGGCCAACACCTAAGCATTTTGCTCTAACAGTCAATGTTTTACCTTAGCTAACCACAGGCACTAAATACAAGAGTCTATAGGGTAATGATGTTGCCAGCACTAATTTCCACTATCAATACTAACCTTAAAAACAGTTTTATACATGAAAAATGTACTATTACTATTATTAAATGAACTTCTCTATTTCTCTTTTTATTAAATTTTAAGGGATTTTGCCTGCTTTATAACAACGCTGCTCCCATTTACTCAAACACTGTATTTTAAGGATTGCTTCTTAACCCTTTATGCATTTTCCTCCCCTCAAATTCACGTTGTCCATGCATTTAGGTGTTCAAAAGCAAGAACCTTCCAGGACAGATTACACATGAAGTCCTACAGCAGTGCAGATCAGACCCAGTTGATGCATTCTGTCAGCACCCTACAGTCTGACTTCCAATTACCAGACCATCAATAAATGGTCCACAACAGATCTCCAAGGCTAGTTTAAAGTATTGGAACTGAAACAAAAGAAACACAGAAGGTCCAGAAGAATTTTTTAGGATGGGCCATACCACAAACAGGTCTGTTGCACAAGCTCCTCAGAAAACACGACATAACCAGAATCATGTTTAGAGGTGAAAGACAAAATTTGCCCTTGCTGTAATAATGAAAATATTTGACCAACTGCAAAATATAGCTAGAAAGAAGAAAGCTGAAAATTCACACTGAGCTGACTCCAATATGCAACTTAGTCCAGTTTATAACATCAGTGCCTTTTTTTTTTAAAAAAAAAAAAAAAATTCAGTGTTTTCTCTACACACCCAAGTGTAGCTGACGTGTCTCTCTGTGATTTGCTTTTCTGGTGATGAGTCACAACAGAATCAAACACCAAAGAATAGAGACTTGGCCTTTGTACACCACTTTGCGCAGTTCTCTAAACATGTATCTGGGCTTCACATATGCCATGAAAAATGTTTTTTTGGTACTTATAAATTGAACTCGGCTTCATTGCAAGTTGTGTATTTATGAAAATGTATACCATCAATATTCACATGTATATATGAAGATACAAGTTGCCGCAATAGGGGATTACCATTAAACTCCCATTTCCCACAATACCACAGTAGTGACTATAAGAAAGTTGGGCAAAGATCAGAAGAGACATACTCAGCCGGGCTTTAACAGCTAGATATACCTCTTGGTCATCTTTTTCCCCTCCCAAAATATTGAGGCATCCCCAACATAATTAACTCAGTGCAAGAATTACAGGTCAGATGGAGTACAGGGCTGCACACATGATATGTGCGTGAATATTCAAACACCACCACAAAACCCACACACTTCACAGGAACCTTGCAAATCTCAGTGTGATAACTTGCAATGTCAAAATACAAACACATTTAAACAGTGATTTGCAAGATTTCCTACTTGGAGGAAAAGAATTATTAATTGAACCTCTGTCAAGGGAACCAATCTGGAATTCTAAGGACAGTGGATGAATTATGAGGAACTTTTAATAACTCCCATAAGTTCAAATTCATAGCAGTTTTTATTGTATACTGTATGTACTTACACAAGCAGAAGAGAATTGAAAAGAGTCAGCACACTAGCCAATATTTATCATTCTGGATTTTATTTTTTTGAAAGAAACCCCAAAGCCCTGCCACATTTATTCAGTGTTAAGTTTACATTCAATTTCTTTTAAGTCACTTAAAATCAGTAGTTTAAAATATATACAAGTGTTCCCCAAATTTTCAAAGTCTAACAGAATAGACAATCTTTCAGAGTTTCAGATTTTCCAGAAATCTTAACACACTGAAAAAACATCTGGATTAGAGCATTTCTGTAGAATTGCTGCAACTCAGTTCAAAACTAGTGGAAATGAAATGCTAAGGTTTTTTTACTTCTCTCTTTCCCTCTCCTTCTCAACCCCCTCTTCCTCCTACCGCCCCCCCAATTTATTTATTTTTTTTTTAATGGTGAGGTTATTTACTTTTGCTTATTTTTCCTTTTAGTTTTTAAAAACCCCACAAAAGTAGAATGGGAGGTGGTGGGGAGAAGGAGGAAGGGTTCAGATACATACATAGAGAATAACTTTTTAAACTTTAAAAGGCAGTTTCACTTAGACTTATTGCTTAAATAGATAAGGAGCACTTTGTCAGTTTTAACATGAAGGTAGTTTTCTTATATGAAATGTAGTTTTTGCCAAGTCCTAAAAAAGTTAACCATATAAAAGTTGCATAGTCTATATTCACACCATTTAATTACTTTCATCTGAGGAAACATGCATTGCACATACAACTTATGCTCTGCCATGTAGGAGAACCCAGGCCTTTTTCCCGTCATTTCTACTGAATGTAAGAGTCTACAGCAAGCTTTTCACAAAAGCACATACTTTATATAATTTATAGCCCCAGTACATAATGACTGGCTGCCTTTTAAAATTTGATAAATGGTTCATAACTTGTAGGTCCACAAAAGAATTCCTTGCTGCAGAGTGGAATGGAATTTTTCAGGAATGTCTCCCTTATATAGTAAAAAAACTTCCCTTTTCAAAAAAAAAAAAAATCGGTTTAGGGAAAAAAAGAAAAGGAATAAAGAAAAGAAAAAAAATCAAATTGCAACTAACCTCCTAAAAATAAGTTAAAGACTTAAAACTACCCATGCCACACAGTGGCAAGCATTTTTAGCATGATTCAATGCTACGTCCCCAGCTCCAAATGTTCTTCTTCTGTTTCCCTTCTATCTTAGCCTGCTTCCACCCAAGCGTCTCAACTCTTTAAAACCACTAAGATTCAAGAATACATCTTAACTTACTCTTGGATTATTTTTGGCAAATCTTCACTTATTTCAGGTCTCACTTCCTCCCTTTTAACCCTTCTACCTACTAACACCTGCAGCAAATGCACACCTACTACATTCCTCAAGTATCCAGATTCTTTTTGCTCACTAGCTCAGGTTCCTACCTACCAGCCCCATGTCAAGAATTACTACACTCTAGCTACTGAAAAACATTTATCACTTCAGTGAAAGTAATCAAAAAAGCTGGAATGCCTGAAACATTAAGAGAAGTGTTCAACTTAAATCATATAAAGCTAAAAAACACAGATACTAATACAAGATTTTTTTTCCAAGAACACAATATATCTATCACATCTACTGTCTATAATCACACTTAAAACAGATTAGTGACATGATTCTAGAATCAATATTCTTCAAAACTCAGCATAACAGGATACAGAAAACATTCTAAAGAAGTTGTTTTGTGAACCACCTAACCAACAAATCTTGGTTTCCTCCAAGCTGCCCTTTGCCTTTTCAACTCCCCTCACTTCAGGAACTCCAGCTTCCCAACCTTACCCGAGGTGTCCCATGGTACTAGTGTGACTAGAAAGAGGCAGCGTATGCTGCATTATTTCAAAACTCTACCTAGGGCCGATGCCTGCTATCTGTTGCCAAAATACTTAAAATAAAACAGCCCAAGTTTTCCTCTGTGTCTCCTTCCTCTACCCCACCAACAGACCAAAAAAAAAAAAAAAAAACCAAAAAAAACCATGGTATAGTCACATAAGCTATGTGTCCCTAGGATGCCAGGCTTAACATGGAAAAGCTTACACAGAGGCAACATAAGTATTAAATATATAGCTAAAGAAACAGCAGTAGCTAATGCAATTCTGTGCTTTCTTTCCTTCTCCATTATCTTTGTACAGAATTTTTACTTGTAGCTACCCCTATTTCTTCCCATTTGTGGTACCCACCAGCATGTCCTTGGTTCTGCTGCTGCTACACTCCTCTAAAGGCATGAGAGCTCCTGACTCACCCTCATGAGGTAAGTGTTCCAGAATAGGCACAAGACTGCAAAGCAGTGCCAAAGCCCATCTACTGAAAAAACTTGCTTTTCTTCAGTGTAATAGAGCTAGTTGTCACCCCGAAACCCTTAAGAGCATGTAAGTTCCCAGAAAACTGCAGAGTATTACAAAGCTTCAGATTCAACTTCCCACATGAATGTAGATTCAATCACATGCTACTGTAGCATTACTTAGTGTGTTAGATACATATGTTATAATGTATCTGCAACATAGGTCAGTTAATTCCACTGCAACAACCCTAACTTTTACTTCTGTAAGATTCTTTACTTTCATGTAACATGATCTTGCAGGTTTAGTGTGGGGGTTTTTTAAGGGAAAAAAAAAAAATCCCTCCTCAGTCCCCTCAGAAGCCTTTGTTTAACCATAATCAAGACAGACAAAAGTACGAAAATAACGGATCAAAATTTTACAAAAATAAAAGGCATTAGATCTGTATTCGACGTTTTAGAAGCTAAAGCCCAGCATTTACTTTTGCTTTCCATACAGTTCACCACAGCAGATGCGGTTTCTACACCACTACAGATGCATCTGAAGACATTCCAAGGTATACAATCAAACATGTAAAAACCTTGGAGATTACAGTCCATTCGATTCATACTACCAGCAGTGATTATTTCTCAAATTTCCAAATCTGATTTTTATCTGCAGCATTACAAGTTCTCATTTGCACATCGGCACGCCCCTCAGTTGTACGATAAGCGGTAAGGCACTTTCCCGAATGAGGATGGTAAATAGTCCCATCTTCTTTGAAATGCCATATAATAATTTCCGGGGTAGGAGATCCATCTTTTGGGCAGCTCCTCATACCTATGAAGTCTTCATGCTCAGGGACTTCAGCACATAGCTCAGTTACAGAGTTAAATCTAATCTCCTTATTTGATGTGTATTCAAAAAATTGATTGCCTCCCTGACCATGACATCCGAAGAGAGAAAGGTGAGCCCCAGTAGGATGATGTTCTGGTAAGACATAGTCGAGGCATTCTGAAGCTATTCCTGCGCTGCGGATAGCACCATGCCAGCCAGGACGATCTTCTGGTACATGCAACTCAGCAAATATGTTTTTTAAATACCAGTTAAAACTCTTGCATTTCAAACGTTCTCTTAATATCTTTCTCTCAGAAATATCTCCGTAGTTTTCTTTTCTTGCTGAAGGATTTCTGTTGTAAAAGTGCTCTTTGTACTCATCCATCCACACCTCAGCAGCACGTGCTGTGTTCTGAAGGAAATTTGGTCTAGCATAGGGCGCGCGCTTTGGAAACACATGGCCTACATGGGAGCACGGATGAATTTCCAACATGCCTCCACACTGCCAAACCCTAAACGATAATTCTAAGTTCTCCCCTCCCCAGACATCCATTCCTGTATCGTAGGTACCCAGGTACTCAAAATACTTCTTGCTGACAGCAAACAAGCCACCAGCCATAGTTGGGGATCTGATTGGGTCGGTTTCAGATTTCCGCCTGAGCCGCTCATGTTTGGGCACCGAGTGCCACTGGAATGTCAGCCGCCAGTCAAACCCCCCAATCATGGGCTCTGCCGTTTGCATGTAGTATTCAAACGTTTTCCAGTCAATGGTGTCAATGACAGGGCAAACAATAACAGTCTCGTTCTCAGCGATCCTCTCGAGCAGTGGCTCCAGCCAGCCGGAGACACATTCACAGTGACAGTCTAGAAACGTGAGGACATCACCAGTAGCAAAGGTAGCGCCAATTAAGCGTGCACGAACCAATCCTTCTCGTTTGTTGGTTCTTATCAAACGGACCCTGTTCAGACTGCTTATGTATTTTTCGAGGTCACTCTTCAAATACACTTTATCACTCAAGTCATCCACCAGTATAATTTCTTTTAGAAGCACCGAAGGTGATGTTTCAAGAACACTGTGTATCGTCCGCAGCAACGTTGACCAGGCTTCATTGTAAAAAGCGATTATAACAGATGTTGTGGGCAGCCTCCTGTAGTTGTAAGATTTGGTTTTACAGCCACTCAGTCGATTATCTTCAATGTGCCGGTGGAGAGAGATTTTATCGCTCACGTAAATATTAATTGCATACTTCTCGATCAGCTCTTCTTCCTGTTTCTTCTCCTCGGGAGTCAGCTGCAGGCGAAAGGGCTTACCCCATTCTCCTGGGGCGTAAGGATCGGGCGGGGATTTGTCATACACGGGACGAGCCAAATCCACAGCTTCTCCTGCTCTGTCAGAAAAGCGCCTCTCCCATTTCCCTTTGGTGATGCTCTCCCCGGCGAGGGAGGCACCGAAGGAAGAAACCGACAGCTCGACCGCAAAGTAAGCGATCATCAAGAAGCCGAGAAACACGCAGCTTTTGCGGACCCACGTCCATCTTCTCGCCAGACGGATCCTCATCGCGGGCGGTTAAAAGCAGCTCCTAGCAGAGAGGAGCTCCGTCAACCACTGCCGGGCTCCCCCCCCCTTCTCCCCCCGCCCCAGGACGGAGGGGGCTTGCGGGGTCTTCCAGCTTCGGGCTCGGGCCGCCGGCCGAGAGCTGGCAGCCGGTCCCCCCGTCAGGGCCCGGAGGTTTCCCGGGGGACGGCGGGGCTTGGCAAGGGGGGGGGAAGCGGTGAAGGCGCGGAGCAGCCCCCCCGCCCCCGGCGCTCTCCTCACTTACTTCCTCCTCCTCCTCCTCCTCCTCGCCGCGGGACAAACCCCTCCTCCCGCCTCCTGGTTTGCTCACAAAGTTGTCGCTTAAGGAAGGGGAAGAGACTCCTCGGCCCACCCGCCCG